AATAGAATTCTAGGGGAAGGCACCGGATTTAGTCACCCCTAAAGAGCGCATAGAGTTTTCGCTGTAGCTAGGTGATGGGATGTTGGATCATCATGCGTAGCCTGCACAACGGAAACACGAAGACTCTTCGGGACCACCAGAAAATGTCATGAGCCAGTGCTGGTGCAGTTTCTTTAGGGGCGAAGCTCCTAAAGCCATGCGTTTGTCCTTCTGCTGTGACCGGTTCATGACCACCTAGTTCATGGATGATTCAGCAGTTGGCGCTAGTGTGACACAGACAGACAGACAGACAGACAGACAGACAGACAGACAGACAGACAGACAGACAGACAGACAGACAGACAGACGGACGGACGGACGGATGGACGGACGGATGGACGGACGGATAGATGGACAGATGGACGGATGGATAGACGGATGGACAGGCAGACAGAGTGACAGACGGGTGGACAGACAGACAGACAGACAGACAGACAGACAGACAGACAGACAGACAGACTCATGGTTTACCGATAAAACTCTGCGAAGTTTCGGCCCACTTATAGTTATTCACTCCGTGGACATACGGTAATTTTTTGTAGACTAGATTATCTCGAATGCACTAGTGCGTAGCCGATGATTTTGGTTCGGCAGCAAGTTCTTGTGTGTTGCTGTTCTTTTGCTGCTCTCTTAAAGATCCTGATAGGATGAAATAGCTGGTGCAGTGATGCAATATAGATGTCGAACTTGTCCACGGCACCTTCCGTCGTAGGAAGCGACCGTCGCGAAAAACAATCTGCGTCAGCGTTACGTCGACCGCTTTTATAGGTAACTTGAAAGTCATATTCTTGTAAATGGAGTGTTGAACGCTCAAGCCGACTAGATGGATCACGCAGATTTACCTACCAGCAGAAAGAGTAACATCTTTCCGAACAATTGTTATGGGAATTTAGAGCTATCGTATGAAAAATACCTGAAAGCTATGCGGATTTCGTATGAAAACATTTCAATTTTGATATTTATGCAGAACGCTCCATTGTGAGCATTGTTGATTTCACATACAGGGCATCTATGATTACGCATAAAAAGTCATCAGCAAAGAAAACGTGATCAGGCGTTCACTCATTGTATCCCTTTAGGAACCACGTCTACTTGATTCATATCCTACACAGCGTCGAAACATTGTTGACCTCTCTTTTATTCATCTCCTTTCAGTTCATGGTCAACGGCATGGTGGCTTCCCACAAGCCGCGGTTCGGAAGTGATGATCTCCTTGGCGTGGCGCGCTATTTATTTTATCATGCAAGCACCTTTGATAAAATTGAAGTTTTAGAACACCACTTCCGGTACAATGGCATCACGAAAAGTCTCGCACCGCATCCAACCGAGAAAGTATACGTAAGTTTTTGCACCTGCATGGCTTGGTTATGTCATCTCACCGAGATATTGAGACCTCGTCAGCCACACACACACACACACACACACACACACACACACACACACACACACACACACACACACACACACACACACACACACACACACACACACACACACACATATATATATATATATATATATATATATATATATATATATATATATATATATATATATATACGGCTGGTAATTTTTTCATCCACTTTCCTTTTTTCTTAATTACATTCAATTGGTTCTAATGACTTCCCCTGTACATTCCTTGGCATTACTTTCTGTTAGATCTCATTAATATTGTGTTAAAACACGGAAAAACGAGCCCTTAGGTATACACTTCCTTCCCATATATATATATATATATATATATATATATATATATATATATATATATATATATATATATATATATATTCAAGATACATGTGAGGCAGTCAACTCAATACTCTAACAAATAACAGCTTCAAACACTTACAAAACTTATTGTTGAAAAAACAACAAGAAGTTATTGAGCAATCACTACAGATGGGATCAAAAATACATGATGGTTCAATTGAAATACCATTGAAGAAATTGTTGACTAGTATTGAAAATTGGCCCATGACTTTCAATTAAAAGCCATCAATGAACTCGATATAGATTTATCCCTGAGAGAAAATGAAATGGTGATAGAAAATACGTTGTGGATCAAGTGTTGACAAGCATTGAAAATTGGCCCATGACTTTCGATTGAAAGCCATCAATAATTTACCAATACGAAGAAAAAAGCATTCTTCGCACTTCACAGCGGCTTTTCGCCAGTAATGCGGTATATTATGACCACAGGTACTTGAAAACCATCAATACTACAATTACCTACGTCTGCAGACCACCCCAATACGGGCATCGAACTCCGGACCTCACGCACGTCAAGCAGATGTTTTACCCATTGCACCACAGCGCCAACGCGCGTAGTCTTTTTGCGGGTATATATCTACCAAACGGTTTTTTTTTGTTTTTTGTGCCATATGCATTTGTTTGCGCATGCATTTGATCAGCGAATCGTTTGTAGGGGCTTCATAAACTTGACACAACAACGGTGAGCGCTCTTTCGGCTCCGACTGCGGTTCGTGGTGCGCCGTTCCGCAAGAACGATTATCGTGTGTTCGTGCGTAGTTTTAGTGCTTCGCCGTGAATCGCGGGCGCTTGCGCTCACCGAAATTCGCGGATACCAGCGCGACGACGCTGTGTTCGCTTGTCGAAACCTACGTATGTTTTTTTCGCCCGTGCATGTGCTGTAAGCGATTTCGCTTATATGTGTCGCAAGGTATATGTAATGAGTATCCAGCAAGTGGTCTTGTAGCAGCTACCCAAAGAGCGTTTAGAAAAGGCTCTGAAAGGCCACTCTTCCCGCTTTTGCTGTCACTTTTATGCGTCTTCCGCACAGGCCTGGCCTTTTTTAAGACTACTTTGCAGCCAGGACTGCCCTCTTATGTTCATTGCAAATGTTTTACCTGGCAAAACCATTTAGACGTGCTTCAGATTTCCATACAGCCGTTTTGGCGTCTGGTTTTCGCTATTTGAGGAGAAGAAAAATATGCTACAATAACACTGTACACATAAAGCGCACATGTACATAGGAAAACGTCGTTGAAATTATTGCATCGTTCATATATTGAACATTTGGATAGACTTGACAGCGTAAAAATACGAGCCAGTGAATAAATGTCTATGTGCTCCTTCTTAGGTGTTTCGCCTTCGCTGGTAAACGAATCCTAATTAGGAACCAACTCACTTGCGCCGCAGTTTAGCATATATTCAAACCTGTTATTTCAAATCAAATCATTAGCGTGTCATGGTGCGTCCAATCAGCCACTTTTATTTTTCTTCGGGGACCAAGAATGTACAGCGGATGCATATGTCACCGGCTTTCAATACGAAATACGGGTCTACTGTTTTGCGTTCTTTTTTTTTCCACGAGCAACACATATAGGTTTGTCCGCTGACTATCATCACTGTTAAAACTAATCAAAATTGCATTTTTTTACACACAATGACACGTGATTAATTTCGTTTCGAATCTCAGGTTTGAAAAGATGACTCAACACAATTCTTCAAACGAGAATGTGAGCAATGTGTTTCATGGGCGTGGTTGGAAAAACTTGTCGTTTGAACTGAAAGCGAGCCAAAAGTATAGTGTCCGTCCTCTCGTACGGGTTAATTTTTCATCTTCAGCCCTTTTCAACTACACTCTAATTTCCTTTTTCCATCCTTGAGCTGGATATTTCACACATTTACCCTTCCAATATTAGGGGCTATACGCAGGCTGCTGTGACGAGGTATTCCTCGTTTTATTTTCACTTTTGTATTCATAACGAAAGTTGGTGTACTTATAATTCAACCTCACTTGCTTTGTTACGTCACCCGCCCTCTCCTCCCAATTGGTGATGAAGAACACTTACGCTCGCCTATGCTGCCAGTATGTATCTTTATCAGTGGGCTAAGAATTTGCATTCTTTCAATTTTTACAGAATATCTTCAGCTACAACAATGTCTTCCAAATGACCTACGGAGGTTACGCGGTAATACGAGGGAAGTTTCAGAATACTCATGCAAGTATTAAGGGGTGAGTAGATGCGCTGATCATAATCTTTAATTGTTAAAACCGTCACGAACGGCTCCCTTGTAACAGGTTTATAACCACACATTTCTTTGAAATTCAGGGGGTTCACTCAATGCCCTTTATGTGTGTCTGTGTGATCGTTTTTAGCTATGCGTCACAAATGCACACTGCAAAATGAAGTTTAGCACGCAGGGGGGAGAGGTGGGGGGGAGTGGGAGGGATTCAAACACACCCTAAGCCAACATTAACTTAATCAATGTACACCTGTGCTTGAGATAATCATGATAGCGTGTGTCAATAACAATCACGCTGTGCACTATGAGAGCGCCTTCACGCGTATTAGGGAGTCCAGCTTACGTAGTCTGCGAAATATATCAGCTTTGGTTGCCAATCATGATGCACTGTCTGAAAATGCATCAAGTTGACGTGACATGATTCAAAGACAATTGGTATTACACTCCAAGAAAAAAAATGAAGCAAGGATGTGTTTTGCGTGAAGTTCAGTAATTAATGTTTAGTAGCACTTAATCAAGTATTTCTATTATTCCACTATTAGCCGGCTTCCATTCTTGCACATAAATATTCAAATATGTCTAAAACACATGTACAGTTTTATTCGTTGCATTCATATCAAGCAAAAAATAAGATTTTTCACGTTGGTTTTAAAACAGTGCACATTGAAAGTTCGTCGAACATGGTAGCTCTCCAGCAAAGTGTTTATCTGCAAATTAAAGACATCTTCCCATTAGGAACCCTGATGAGATGCGAAGCAGCAGGGTTGCACACGACGATTCGGCGGGCGATTTGGTGGAGAACGCGCGGCGATTTCGAGACGTTGCCGACGACGTTTCCGATGTCGACGAGGTCGAGGACTCGTTCTGGTTCGCGTCTCGTTGGTGTTCCCGAGTCGCTAAAGACGCTTGCGCTTGGCTTCCTTGACTCGCGTGTCGTCGGTGTCACCTGTGCGCTGTCTCCATTCTCGAACATGTACGCCGTGCTTGACTCGCACCTCGTCAATGTTGTTGGTCTGGCACTGCTGACGTTTGCGTTCGGCTTCCCTGAACCGTGCCCGGTTAGTGTTGCCGGTGCGACATCGCTAACGCTCAGAACGCCGGTGACAGCCGGATTAGGCCCAATTGTTTCGGCGCATGTTTCGGCGGGTGAAGGAGCTTCGCTTTCGGGCGTCCTCTTCATCGCAGATAAAAGAGCCGAAAGAGTGTTAACTCGATGTTCACTCGAACGGCGCGAACGACGGAGAGGGTGAACCTTGATAGAGGTGACACGCGTTGAGTGTGCGGCAGGCGATGGAGAGAGCGACATGACCGCGCACTGCGAGGAAAGACGTGAGCTACGTGGCACCGCCCCAACAGCTGCAGCGAGGGGAGCACGGTGCGGTGCGTTGGCACGGAGACACGGATGTACAGCGTTACACAGGCTATTCAAAGAGCTGCTTCGTATCCTATATGCAGCAGAATGAATCACAATGACTGCAAGTTGACATCGTTAATGGGCAGTCATGCAGTGCGTTTCAAACGTGCAGCCTTCTCGGCGTAATAGCTGGAAAAGAAACGCGTATTGGTACTGAAGAGGCACTTTTGGCCCTCGTATTGTCTCCCCTTCTCAGCATCTAACATTTTATTTCATCCTCACTTCCAATTTAACCCCTTTGCTGTGCAGTACAATACGCGGTTATGGTATGCTTCACCACTCCTCCTCACAATTGCTTTACCATTCACCTCCTTGCTATAGTGCAGCATACATTCAGATGATACGCTTTGCTTTCATAAAGCGCGTCGAATTCGACGTACCATCTTACCCTTTTATACTAATTTTTGTTAACGCCAAGTTAGGTGTTAATTACGAGAGTACCAAGACGCAAGCGGCTATATAGATAGATACCTAGATAGACGCCAAAAGTGCTTACAATACACAAAGAAATGCTTCGAATTTTTTGATAGCTGCCTTGTTCTTGTGTATTTAACATGACTTGAACTGTTAGAGGTTACTTTCGTAGCCCTTAAATACTATGGAGAGAATTATAACAATCATAATTAGTTCTATTGTAATTAGCGTAGGGCTGGTAAGAGTCAATAGATTTATTTAGGGATATCTAATGGCGCCGAAGGCGTTGCAGCACCCTTGAGAAACAAGACCAGTCCGGTTCACTCAACCACACAATCCAAGCATCGAATTCATTACTTTTCCTAAGCGTTTCGCACTTGCTGAATTTATGTTATTTTATCGTGTGGCAGACGAAGTTCACTGAGTGAGATATATATGCCCATGATTGTACTGTTGAGATGAGCTACATTCATGACTTTTGTAACGCGCGAACGCCGGTTATTGGCTGCGACTTGGGCGACAACTTTTTCATTTGCCTGCATACACAGCTATGCTCTACATGGTTCGGCCAGCCCTATTCTGTACATGGCTATCCCATGCCCTACTTTCTCTGTTCCTCCTTTTTATCTTCCTCGTCTTCTCTTCATCTCACCCCTTCACTTTAAATGGCTTGTTATGTTATGTTAAGTCATATGAGGCAACGCTAGGGTAAACTACGGTATAGTCGAAACTATGAAAGAAATAAAAAGGGTTTATTAGTAGGCTAATAGAAATTAAAATTGTGACAGAGCATTATTCAACACCCACAACTGGCACATATCCTCAATACTAGTTGGTGACTTCAACGTACACTTTGTGGACCCTACGATCTGTCTTTGGTTTCGACTCTTTCTCGCTTTGTTGCTTGATGTCACTCAGTTTACATTATTTGGGGCGACGCTCGGGTAACGTATGTCAGACACAAAAAAGGTTTAACAATGCACTAATGTCAGTAACAGTTTGCACAGAACAATGTAAAATACATACAGACACAGACCCTTTATTTGAGTTGGTGACTTCGAAGTAGACATTGTGGATTTTCAGACTTAGCTTCGCTCAGCCGTCATGATTCCCTTTTTCCCACAATTTTTATTTTGTATTTTGATGTCCCTATGATTTTCTCTCTGCACTTGTTCACTCACCCTGCTCGTTTGTGTAAAGACGCACTAGTCGAATGTTAATGCGTGTTTTGGGAGTGAAGCGAACGTCTGAAGAGAGGATGAACAACACGTGTAGGTTCACAATGATATTTGTTTTTTGGTGTAGCAATACGGCAAAACTTACACCGATTCGCTGTAAAAAGGCTTTTCTCGACAGCACACTTTTTGGGCTCACGTATTTTTACAACAGCTCCAGAGCGGACCATGACTGAACCCAGAGATCCTCAATTACCCTTTTCAAAATTGTAAAGTTAGCTTTCGTGCCTTGTCGTTTGAACAATTATTGGTGGCTCGTCACTGATTGCAAATAGTCTGTTAAAGCACGGTTCGCTTATGGAATGAAGCGGAAATTGTTGTCGCCTATGTTGATATAAACACTCACAATAGACAACGAGAGGCAGCATCAGCTGCACCACAGTACAACTTTGCCGGATGTGACAAACCGTTTTCTTGTGTGTCACAGCGTATCAACACCGCTTCGAACAATGTGTGCCCGCATGCTCGAGCTTAGAGTGTCTTCCAGTCGCAGATACAAGGTCCAGTAAGTAAGAGCACCTTCTACATAAGGTGGAGCGTCATGTATCGCACATGTAATGGATAGGCCTTGCGCGATTCGCACATGTCTAATGTCATACATCTGTTCTGTTCACAGCGTTGGGTTGATGGCGGAAAGTGCAACCAAATATGCGAAACGAACATTGGAAAACACCAAAGACGTCAGTGATATTTTGACAATTACGGTGCTGCCCGGCCTGAATGTAGTTTTCGTGAATCTCTTGCAAGACACTCAGACTATGAAGCTGACTTACGAGGGTTATTTTGGGCTGAATGTGTCAAACATTGACATCGAGAACATCGAAGTTGTGAGTTTCTTGGTTTCAATACTGACCTCATCCGCTAACTGCACGAGTAGTGGCAACGTCGACTTGAAAGCACTCCGTATGCAGGCTGTCCCCAAATACCACGCAGCATGGCCAAAAAGAAAGGGAACGGCGTTACGTGAAGTCCAGTGCACATTGTTCGCACTATACTGTTGTAGTCACAGCTAATTTTCTTGCTTAGTAGTGTTTAGATAGTAAGTCCTACTTATGTTTGTTGCTTTACAAGTGCTCAGGTATTCATAAAACGTCAATGAAGTATTTGTAGACGTGCTCAAATGACACCTAACTTCACTCTTATCAACAACGTACTATATATGGGCCCATTTTTTTCGGCTAATAGAGAAAACACACAAGATTTGAAAACTATTGTGTATGAAATCAAAAATCTGCAAGACGTGGAGCGTAGACTGGACTCGCAACCTCAAAGTGATGCTGTTCAAGAGCGACGCTGCCTGAGGTGCGCTGCTGTGTTGTCTCATGTCGAATTCTTTTTTTTCAGATTTTGCGGGGTTTTCATTGCGAGTATATGGACAGTCCCGGCTGGTCTTTGCCGTCGTCGTCACTGGATCCGCCGTATATATATATATATATATATATATATATATATATATATATATATATATATACGAGGCAGGAGGCGTGAGCTCTTTCTGAGGAGCGAACATCGCCTTTCAGTACGGGCTCGTCTGCGCTGAGGCTTATCTCGTGAGTGAACAGGAGGGGGGGGGGGGACTTATGGTTGTAGCGCTATCGCGGAAACAATCAGCGCGCGGCTTGTGCCCCCACACCGGGCGGGAGCTTCTATGGGCTGCGCCCTCAACACGAAAAAATGGTGCCGAAAGTGTACCTGGAGCAGCCGTGTTCTGTTACACCAGCGTTTTTTAGAGTTACGAGAAATCGAACCTTAATGAGTTGACTTCTAGGCCCACTTCATATAACATTTGCAATTTGCTAGCCTTGCTTGATTTAAAACATTTGAATATGTTGCTATCGCATTCAATGTTTTGCGCTTTCGGCGAAACTTTTTCATTAGCCGAAAAACAACATTTAATAAGTACACCATTCAATGCAATGCCGTTAGGTGTCACTTCAGCATGCCTTTGTATCCCTCGTTCACATGTTAATTATTAGATGAGCATTTTCAGAGTTAGAAACATCATCATCAGCAGCAGCCTGACTACTTCCACTGCAGGGCGAAGGCTTCTCTCATGATCCGCCAATCAACGTGGTCTGCTGCTTTCTGCTACCGCGTTATACCAGTGACTTTTTAGTCCTATTACAGCTAATTTTCTGTCTCCCCTTGTGTAATTGCCTTTTCTGTGAAACCAGTAAGTTGCATATAATGACCAGCGGTTATCCTACCTATGCGCTACGTCCCCGGGCCATGTCTGTTTATTCTTCTTGATTTCAACTATTTGATATCCTGAACGCCGGTTTGTTACCTGACCCACTCTGCTCTCTTCCTGTTCCTTAAGGTTACACCTATCTTTTACCTTTCCATCGCTCACTTAGTTTTCCTCAATTCAAGCTTAATCCTCTTTGTAAGCCCATAGGTTTCTTCTCCGTAGGTATGTAGTGGCAAGATGCAGCTGTTATATCCATTCCTTCTAAGAGTTCTTTGCAGGTTACCATTCATGATTTTAGAAGTCTTGACGAATGTTATCCACCCTATGTTTATTCTTCTAGTTATTTCACTCTCATGGTTTAAATCCGCGGTTACTACCTGCCCTAAGTTTAATTACATCGTTACAACTTCCAGCGTTTTTCCAGCTACCATTTTATGCCGAGACTGCTGTACATTACTTTAGTTTTATATATATTGATTTTCAGGCCTACTCTATCTTTCCGTGTCCAGTTCAGCAATCATGAGCTGTAATTTGTTCCCTGAGCCATCAAGGCAATGTCATCAGTGAATCGCAGGTTGCTAAGGTACTCTCCCTCAACTATTACTCCAGTGAAGAGGTTTAATAGCCGTTAAAGACAGGGACGAGACAGCGTGAAGAACCGTCCAGCGATCGGCACAGCAACGAACCAAAGCACGAGCCGAGAGAGCCGGGCGTTGGCAATGCTGTTTGCTGCAGGCCCATCTTCTTCTTCACAATCGCCCCGGCTGAAAAAGGAGCCATCCTGGTGACCTAAGAAGTTTCAGG